TATTCTCATTGCCTCTCCCATCACAAGACTGACACCAACAGTTTATAGTCATGTGAAATCCACCAAGCTCTACATCTAACTTCAGCCCACTGCTACATGCACAGAAACAGCATTTTAAGGTGTTTTTTTTTTTTTAGCTAGCTAATTAGCAAGCAGCTAACAGGCCTCATAATAACTTAGTGAAAATCACATCTCAAGAGCACAATTAAAGTGCAAACAAAGCAAACAGAGAAGGAATGCAAACCAGCCACATGAGAGAACCACAAACCTCCTGCCTCAAAAGAATACAAGCTCAGAGAAAATGTAAATGACAGGGACAGCGATGAAGATGCTCCACCCATCATTTAGCTTCCTTCCTCTGACAGGAACTGGGCTGTGAGTCAGTCTGAGGCCTGGACTCATGCCCTGCTGGGGTTCCAGGCTCCAGTCAGCAGGTTGTACACCGTTTTCATCTTATCTGACTGTATAAAAGTCACCATTAACCTCATATTTATTAACAACAACCTTCATAGTGCAAACACCAACTAATAAAATAATCTCTGCAATTATACAAGAAAGGATACGTTTCTATAAAACATGTTGATCCAACTTCTCAACCAATCAGCTCTCAGATCAGGTGAGAGCCAGGCTTCTCCCATGATGCCCTGAGCTCTTGCATCCTATGAGAATATCGGTACCTACGTAGGCGTTACATCAGAGCAAGTCAGGATCAAAATGGACAGAATACTAACCGGCATTCTCTGGGAGAGTAAAATGGTTCACTGTTGATGAAGAGTCTGTGTTGCAAATTCTTTCTACCACTGTCACATATTTACACCAAACTTCATTTATGTGGAAGTAGATTCCAGCTCCTCTCGTTTTCCTGGATAATCCGTTACACGATCCACTATGTGAATCCCGGGATTTGTATTGTGTTGTCGGAGATGGAGTTGCTGAGCCAAGTCTCCATGAAGCGTAAAGCAGCAGAGCATGAGAAGCCAGAGTTAGTCCAGTTGACAAGGAGTTCATCCGTTTGGTTGGCTAGAGAGAGCAAAGATTCACCAGGTGGATCGATGGGAGTGGTGTCCAGGTCCCTCTCTGTCCTAACTTAACCAGGCCTCCCGCGCCATCTTGATGAAGACAGATATTTCATTTCCTTTGATGAATTACAAAAAAAAGCATTGATTTCTCAGTTGTTTGGCAGGTTTGGTTTAAAAATTTTAATATTCAATTACCAAAACAGTGTAGGACGATTCTTGATGTGACCTGATGTGATCTTCTGTATGTTTCTCCATCTCCAGGCGCTGTGAGAGGAACCCTTGCATGCTGGGAGATGAGGCGTGTGTTCAGGCCCCAAACTCCATTTCCTTCCACTTCCTGTCTATGGTGTCCAACATGTCTGCTCCCCGTGTCCTCATCCGGGTGTCGGCGGCTCGCGTGCTGGGCGACACACTGCGTTTCGGCCTGGCAGGCGGCCAAGGTCATACCCACTTCAGTGTGCAGCGCTCTGGTCGACAGACTGGCACCCTCCTCTTGGTGACACCTATCAAAGGACCGGCTACCATGGAGGCCGAGGTTGAGATGAGCGAGCTGGAGCACAACGCCTTGCTGAGCCGCTACCTCACCAAGGTCACTCTGTTTGTCTCTCCATACGAGTTTTAGGGGAGGACTGGTGGGTAAAGGGTTCCGTGTTCAGC